TTGCTTTGAAAAATGTTCGATTTGCTATGAAAGTGTCTTGTTTTGTTCGAAAAGTGTCCGTTTTGATTTGAGGTGGACGACTCATTCAGAAATGCGTCCAATTTGGTTAGGAAAGTATGCAATTTGATCTGAAGCGGACGGCTCAATTAAAATGTGTCCGATTTGATTTGAATGGTCTGATTTTTCTAAAAAGATTCGAGTTGGTGGGAACGTGTCTGTTATTTAAAAGTATCCGATTTGAATTGAGGTGAACGACTCAGTTGAAATGTGTCCGATTTGATTTGAATTGTCTGGTTTGGTTCAAAAAGATCCTATATGGTATGAAAGGTGTGTGGTTTGGTTTGAAATGTGCACGACTTGATTAGAGTGGACTGGTTTGGTTCAAAAAACCCTAGTTGGTATAGAAATTGTGTGGTTTGATTTGACGAAAAAACGCTCGTCTGGCCAAATTGCGATTCTGGGAAACTTTGAATTGTCGGATGGGTAATATGTTCAGAGAGGGCAGATATGACCAAATCCATACTAGATCGAGTACGTCGTATACTTGATGTACTTGATCTACTTGCCCTGCTGGGCCGTAAATTCGGAAGAATTTCGAAAATTAGAGTTGAAGCTCTTATACGGAGCGAAGCAAAAATTTTCGCGCCAACCGGATGCAAACCCGCATGCGTTTGACTTGAAAGCGAGACCATTACCACGAGGCCACGGTGGCACTGCCGAGGCATCGATCAGCAGCGCTTACGAGCCAAAACTGGCTTTTCGCAAACTTTGACCACCCAGATCTCGTCTGGGAGGTCCCCGTAGCACTTTTAATCTGCATATTCGTAATCAGCATTCGAGGCTCTATCGATGTACCTAGGTCTCCATTCAAAGTTCGAAGTTCAAACCATTTCCTTGTCAGAAGCCAGGGGAAATTTCGAGCTTAGCGCTGGTTTTCTTCCACGTAGGTGTTGGAAGAAAATGCAAATAAAAAGGCGAAAAAACAACAAACCTCAGAAGGGGGGTCGCATCGATTCAGCTTTTAGGGGGGGTCGCACTGGCTAGACCAGAATCCTCAACCAGGATGAGCCCTGCTTTGCGTTCCTCTATATGTGCCCATGTTTTTGAATAGGATGTCGTGGTACTGACTGAATGAACGTGTCAAAGCTTAGTTACTTCTTCTGCGAGGAGAAGTAACTAACCTTTGACACATTCCGGACGCGTGACACACATGGCGTGAAGTTGTCTCTGTGCTGTGTTTATTTGATCGATTTGGCCTTTCTTTCACGTTTCAACTTTGTCAAAACACGTTTTCGATTATGGAAGATGCATACCTCGTAAGCCGTTAAAGACAGCCCCCGCGCTCAAGTATTACATGGTCGTCCTTCCTTGGGCAGGTACAGTCCTCATCATTGCGGACCGGTGGGGCGTGGCAGTGCGGCTGCATTTGGTGCGGTTTGGCAAAGTCGTTCTGCACCAGTTTTTAAGCGTTTTCTACCACTTTTTGTCGCATACGCGTTCAACAAAAAGGCTGAGAACGGCTTCAACAGTGTGCGCACTCCTTCTGGCTGACACGCCCCACCGGTCCGCAATGATGAGGACTGTAGTTCAGCCCCCAAGCTATATACTATCTCACTCTCGCGACTCCTCAGCGAGCGAGGAGCGAGCTAGAACCGCTCAAAGTTCTAGTTCTAACGCCTGCTCAGTTGGACCGCCTCACTAGCTAGCTGCCCTCTGACGGAGAGCCGCTCAGTTGTTCCTTGTTGGGACGGCAGTCATTAATCGGAACTGCATGTATTTTTTGCTGACCGCGCTCGTGCTCGTAAATAATTCTGCTCTCCTTCATCACATTTTATTCATTGGGAGCACGTACAGTCAACAGCAACCCATCTCGTAAGGTAAAACGCGTAAAAATCACGAATGATGCAATTTCTGTGGTGCAAAAGCTCGACGCACTTCACTACACTAAAACATGCTCGCTACCGTAACCCTAGGTTCGAACGCCGGCTTTTTAAATGTTTCCTTTCCTTTTCAAGAGTTTTCCTCTATTTCTGTTGTTTTTTGTTTTCTTTTCTTCGCATTCGATGATATCCACTACTGGGAGATGTGACAAAGTGATTTGTGAGCCAGGGCTTGCACAGAGACCGCAGGGAGGTGTGACTGTCAACTGCCGCCTAAACCTACACCCGGAAAAACGGCCGGACGAGTTTTACGGGCGCAAGTCGTCCACTTCGTTGTGGGACCACGCGTCCCTTTAACTTCATTTGAATTAGGATACTTCAATAAGAGCGGTTTTTTTGCGAAAAGATCATCGCTTTTGTGCGTAGTCATAATCAGTATCTGAAATCTGCTTTTGCTTCGATTAGGAATTACATGAAACCTGGAGGGGCAGCCGGAAAGCTTACAAGGAAAGGATGGTTGGTCGAAGTGGCCATTTAAGACAAGATGCATACACACTGATGCGTCTTCGGACGCTGATTTCAAATCTGCTTTCCATATCTGCTAAACGATTCTCTGAGCAGAGATATGCAGGAGGTTGTTGTACGGAGCACAATTGAGCTTGGTAACACAAATGAGACGTGAGTCGTCACACGAAGTGCATCGGTGGCCTAGTGGGTAGTGTGCCGCGCTCAAGTATGCGAGGTGAGAGGTTCGAATCCCTCCATGAATCGTCATTTTGCATTTTCTCAAAAATGCCTCCTGCACATCCGGAAAGCACTTCTGCGAGGCTAGGAGACCTGATTCTACCAAAAAAATTTTATTTCTGATGTGATAGAGCCATTCTGGAACACTCCTAGTGGGACTCCTGATTGTTGGTTTCGGCGGCATTATTCGTTCCGTCGTGTTGTGAGGCCAAACTGATTCCAGATGGCATGGAAGCCAAAAGTGGATGTCGTGGTTGTTATCAGGACCGTCAGTAACCAACAAGGACTAAGATTTAGCGAGGAACCTCCACTGCTCACAGAGATTTGAATCGGCGATAGTGCCAGCAACCTTTAGGAATTGGCTGCCTATGGTTACCCCACTGTATCGAAAATAGGTCGAAATCTCAAATTTGGTTGAAAACTTGTCTCTAGGGCTAATTTGAGCCCCAGAGCACGAATATCACACTCGTTCGGCGTAAAAACGCTTGCCAAGGACGTTGCAGGTTCCTGCACACCCTGCCCCTCCAGAATGCGTACAAGACGTTTTCACGAAATATGACTGCAGTGTTGATTTCCAGGGCACTGAAGCACCTCTAGTTTCAGATTCCAGCCAATTTGGGCAATTTGGAGCACCTCATATACATGCTGGAAATGGGTGTGACCTGGTCAAAAATCCTGCATAACTTTGTCCAGGAAATCGTTTAGCAGATATGGAGGGCAGATTTGTAATCAGCGTCCAAGGGCCCATCGGGCAGTATACGTCTCATTTCGAATGGCCACTTCGACCAACCATCCTTTCCTTGTTAGCACACCAACTGCATTCCTGTTTTTTTGGGGACTACATCCCATCGGGTGCCACCATTTGTAGAAGTTCTGCCGCTCAGCGTTGGAGTCCAGCGCAAGAAGATATCTACAACCGATCTCCGAGCTATTTGTTAGATATTTGATGTTAGATGTCGGCCGGGCAAAACTTTCCGTCTATATGTGTGTTTAGATACACGACACTATTGAAATGTTCCCAGCCCATAAACTCAAAAAAATTTCTTTTCGTCGAAACTTGGTGTGTAGATGTAATTTGATGTCCTGATCACGAATATGACATTCATTTCTGGCGCTGGCGCCATTTGGCGCCAATAGGCGCCAGCTGTTCTCTCACCAAATTTGATGCAAACTTTCGTGCGAAGGTTAATTGACATCCTGATCACGAAAATAGCATTTTTTTGACGCTGCAGCCATTTGGCGCCACTGGGCGCCAATTTAGCGCCGCATCTTTTCTTCCCATCGATCAAAAAATTTGTTTCCATATCAGCCCCATTTAGCTTTCTGCTAAGGCTGAACCTGGGAAAAGAGTGATTCCGTACAGGAAAGGCCCAGTCCTAGCAAAGCGCAGATGACCATAGTGTCCTACCATAGCGCCGGCGCCAAGAACAAATGTCATATTCGTAAACAGGATATCAAATAATCCCGTACGCAAGTTTTCATCGATTTCGGTAGTTTAGGGTGTCCTGGCGCTGGCGCTAAGCAGTTTTGGCCCAAACGGATGTGATATTTATGTTCTGGGGTCAAACTACCTCTAGGGACAGGTTTTCAGTAAATTTGGTGATTTGGATAGTTTTGCGCGGGCGCCAGGCAGTTTCGGGTGAAGCGGATGTGATATCTGTGTTCAGGAGGTCGAAGTACCCCTACCAATAAATTTCGGTCAAATCTGCCCTTGTAGAAAAAAAAAACGGTAAAAAAAACCGGCCTGACTCCACCCGACTGGGGTAGGAATAGTTTAATATTGCCAAAAACTGCTCTTATTGACAAATCCTAATTCAAATGAAGGTTAAAGGGACGCGTGGTCCCACAACGAAGTGGACGACTTCACACTCGGTAAACTCGTCCGGCCGTTTTTCCGGGTGTAGGTTTAGGCGGCAGTTGACTGTCAGGGCGCGATTTTGTTTATGGTGTTCTTGAGGGCTCTTGTTTCTTTTCCTTCACTGAGGAATTACTTATCAGCTACTGTTTCATAATTGATCAGCAATTATCCTTGACACTTTTATCGCGGGAGCTGTCTTTAAGAAGACTGATGAGATCACTGGTGAATTGTTGACGAAAAATTACGGAAAGATCCGGAGACGCGCGCACCATTGCGGTCCGCAATATGTTAAAATTTTTTCTAGGTTTCAACTGCTGATTAGTAGATTGATAATCTCTTAGTTATTTCAAGATCTACTACTTTTCTGCGTGATCCCCTGAAAATGTCCTTGTGTAATTGTGGGAGGCAGAGTTCGACAACAAAACAGCTGCTCGCGTTACACTGCCACACTAGGTGTAATGCAAGCGCAAGAGGAGGTGAAAAGCCCTGTTGCCGCCAGGATCCAATCTATGGCGCTCATGCGAAATATTGTGTTTTTTTGGATAGCGGTTGTAGTTGCAGCATTTGCCATTGACACATTGCAAACCACTGCCCGAAAAGGTCAACTGTTCGTTTATACATTACATTCGGCCTCCTTCTTTTCTGCCACAGGTGAAAATTTCCACACTGATATTTTCCATTTACGATTCACTTCAAGTGGATGACAGGATGAAACTTATTTGCTTGAACAAAATGCAAGCTTTAGTGGACGTGAAGTGGTCGGCCACTTTGAGAAACCGTCCCGCTCTTCCTTCCTGGCTTCATCTCGTGCCTTCTCGCCACAAAGCTTTGGCTTATCTTGTTGGTATGATTTGTTAATGGTTGTTGGTATATTTGTTAATGGTTTACCGTTACAATCTTGCACGTGACTGCATTACTTGTTTTCAATTTACATGACGTCGTCCGAACTTTTGCTCGTAAACTGCTGTGTGCATTACACATGAATCTAACTACGGAATGATTATGCAGACTGTGTTTCGTCAGTTAGTAGCGCTTTATAAAAGGTACTATTTACTTGATAAAAGCGACTGCTTTTAGCAAGTAATCGTGGGTGACAAGGGGAGCCGGTCGGGTGGCGTGCTTGCCGGCTGTCATTTAATTATAAGTTCAGGTTGTCAGGATGCATACACTACCCCCGAAAATTGTGCGTAAGATTAATTGTGATGGTCGTGAATGCACACAACGAGCCCCAGGACCACTTGATCTATCCAGGTTCTTGGCGTGGAGTTCTGTGGCCTGGTGCGAGAAGCTTCCCGCCAACTCTACGCCAAGAATCTGGATAGGTCAAGTGGTCCACCTCGAAGCTTCCTCACCTCACGCGCGTGCGGAATGCCCTTTTAGGTTGGTGTTAAAGGTGAAGCGTACATCAGCCGGTCTGTGCAAAAGTCAACGTACTAACTAAACCGGGTTGCGGGCCACGATACGCCCGATTGTGTGCTCTCACGACGCGACATTTTTAACTTCACGCGCAATTTTTGGGGGTATTGTACGCAGCCAGGCAATCTCAATTTATCTTGCCCGGCCGTCATACTGGTGCTGCGATGCTGCTGATCGTAATTGCCACATCCAGTAACATTCTACAGCTATTCTTTTGGACCGGACAACTCGTCAAAGCCACTCATCGCCTTGGATCTCCTAATTGATCGATTTACACAGGCAGGAGGCCAGCATGTACTCCGAGTTGCGTACTGATGTCCTAATTACGCACTCTCGTCTATTTTTTGGCTAATATTTGACTTCTTTCGCCCAACCCTCTATTGCGAACCCCCCCCCCCCCCCCTCTATTATTCTGCTACTACTTATTCGGATAGGCAAATCGTTTCTCTGGTGTCTTTTTGCCCAGTAACATTGATGATTATCGACTAGTATATTCGTCATTGCATTTCTGTACAACTGTGGCATTACTGGATCGGTTGTGAGTTTTGTGCAGTTGCTTACACTTCATGCTGTTTGCTTTCTAGAAGAGCATAGTTTCATGACTATTATGTAAGGTTATCCCATTCAAAAGTGCCGCAGATTTTATTCATATAAAAGGAAGAGAACAGATAGAAAAGTAATATTTTGGCTTCAAGTTGAGTAAATCCCTCCTTCTTCAATGACCCGCTCCCAGTGCCCTGAAAGCCTTTGGACCCAGGGTACAGCATCGTTGTGCGAAACCCATAGGGGGGTCGTACTTGGCCGCTGGGGAGGGGGGGGTCGTAATCTCAAGGGTCACTCAGAGCCGGGCAATGCTTCGACATTTCAGTTGATAGTGGGAGTGGAGCTATGGAAGTCAAGATGTCAAAAAAATGAAAACCATCATGAGTGTATCCTTTACGGTTTCAACTGCTACGTTTGACAGCCCTCTTTTCATGCGAAATCCCCAAAAATGGGTTCGTACTTGGCCGCGGGGGACGTGGGGAGTATCGCAAAAGTAGGCTCGCTAGGCATCAAACAGTACAAAAGTGTCATTGCTAAGTTTGATGGAACGGACGGAAAGCTGCAGAAGATCCGGATGTAAATCACCTGTATCACCTGTGCTCCG